TAAAGGTCAATGCAATGATAGCAGACAAGAATTTATCAGAAATGCTAGTCATACAGGGACTTTAGACAGGATTTTAAACAAGGATTCATCTCAACCCTTGATCTGAATTTAATCAAGGATTGAGGTGAATCCCTGTTCATAACCCTATCCATTGCCCTATTTCAGAAGCCTCTCTCAAAATTTATTATAGTAGAATTTATAGGCACAAATATCAATCGTGATGATTATTGAATTAATAATCAAATACAATACGTGTACATAAAGGAGTGAAAATAAAGGCACGTATCGAGATTCGTGAATTCACGAGGTGCATGCATGAATAGTAAATATATATGATTTTTGTTGAGTTAGTTAGTTTTACTAACTTTGCACCGGACATAAAGGCTAAACAGCGACATTGATACTAGAATAATTAGACATGATTTTTACCCAATTACAAAATCAATTACAAACATGAGGTGGATGCGTGAAAAAAAAATCACATGCTATCAAATTAATTTTGATACACGTGATAAGAAAAAAAATTATGCTTAACAAAATTACTACCGTCACTAGACTTTGAAAAATCAAACTATCGTGCTGATAATGTATTATGAAAAGTGAAGAAAAGAGAAGATAATAGAGAAAAGTCAATAGACTTTGGTGTATTTTATTAAGAACCAAAGCTCTATATTCATAGGACAGAATCAGAAATATAATAATAATTATTTTTAGGGCTGCAAGGGTATAATTATCATTCACCTCAAACCCTAATAAACTTTCCTTTTACAATAAGATTCTAATATGACATATAGACAATTCGACAAGACATTATTAACTCTATAATTGTCAGCGTTGGAAAGGATTCAACCAACTTAAAAATTGACCACGTTGCAAATAACACCGTCAAAATTCGTAAAATTCAAACATCTCCTTCATCTGGACATGGAAAGTTAATTTTTCCCCCTCCATTTTGATTAGTTCCAACAATTCTATTTGAAAGTTGAAACTAATTTTATTCAAATTAATTGTGGAAAACCTTTTTTTTTTTTTTCCATCCACTTTTGATAACTTTCCATCTTTACCAACACACATCACTAAGAATTCAACATAGCCCTATGAATTTTCCCTTCACTTTTTCTTTTTTGAAAATTAAATCATACTCATCAATCAAGAATCAAGATCACCGCATCTAGTTGGTCGAAATGAAAAGTAAGGAGCACAATCCAATTAGTACAACAATTGGACCAACAATGGGAAAAGAGGCTAGTTCATGGACCACTTCATTTTCCTCGGAGGTACAAACTGGCAAGTCCCCCCAATTAACCTTTTACGAAATAAACTAACAATGTGACACACAACAAACTCATTATGAGAAAAACAAAAATTGACATCAAGGCCTGGACCAGACGCAAGGAATTGGTTTTTGCCACCATGTGTGGTATTCCAAGTTCTCGAGCCAGTAACAGTTCTTTTCCCTATTCCATTGCCATTGACATTGACATTGTCTCAACGATGGCTGCAACTTATGATGCACAAAAACATAAACAGCAACAAAGAGTGAAACGGGACACGACATGGGAAAATGCTATTTCTGAAAAAAGTAGGACACGAAACATTGGGAAACGTTATATTAAAATTATTAATTTAATGTCATAAAATCAATATTCAATCTCAAAAAACTCTATAATATAAATTAAATAAAAAAAAATCTACAATCTATCCAATTTAACGAAGATCTTGACATAAAATCATTGTCATCTCAAAATTCAAAACAATTATTTATAATAAATCAATACTCAAACTAAAAAATTCTTAAGTTTTCAAATCAAATTGCTTCTATCCCTATCATCATCATCAATATCTATAACACTATCACCAGAATCATTGAATAATATGATTTCCATCTCTGGTTCATTTAATAAAGAAAAAAAAGAGGAGATTTAGCACCCCCCCCTTTGCGCCACATTATTGTAAAAATGAAAATGAAAAATATAATCGTTATGGGCTCCATACAAGAGATAAAAAGTTAAATACGGTGATTTGATATGATGGATAACGATCATATTTTTCATTTTAATGAGGAAATAATGAGGCTCAAACAGGGCCTTAAACTTTTACTTTCTATTCCAGCAAAGAGCATCTTTCTTTTCTTTGAATCCAAACTTTCTTGAACTCCTTCTGTAAACATTTTAGCTTGTATATTACTTTCCTCCTCTAATCTTATCATATCCTTTATATCGCTAGCTTTCACATTTTTGCAAGCCCCACTGCATTTATTTATTATTTTCATCATTTGTGCTCTAACCCTAATATAATTTCCTTTCATCATTTTATCTAAAATTACACTTCCAATAAACATTACTATCTCCTTCTCCTGTTTTATCACATTTTTTAACATACCTCCACAATGGATTCTTAAAATCATCTTCTTTTATTGTCAATTCCAGTGGAATTTGAACCAGCCATAATCAATAACAGTCCAATATACAAATAAAACTTATAGTAATTAATATGGTGTTAAAATAAAGTACAACAAATTTGGCCTAAAATTTAGTTTAACCAATAGTGTTACACCAAACGCCAAATTTGGAGAAATTCTATATTCCCCATTTAGCCCTCTATTCCCTTTTAAAACAAAATTTTGTTCCATATATCAATTTTTTTTAATCTTTTAGAATTAAAATAAATGAATTTATTTATAATTGTTTTAATGGGATGAGTTATTTTTATAAATCTGATAATTAGAAGTTAAGAATAAATTAGTACTATAATAATTATTGATATAATAAATTAAAATTGTTCATTAAATACAATTTTTAATTCAACGATTTTCGTAATAATATAATTTTTAACTAAATAATTTAAAATAACTTTTGGTGCAAGACCATCTCCAATAGTTGCACATATTTGGTGTAAAAATTGGTATAACAATTGGAGATTTTACACCAAATTTGGTGTAAAATTACACCAAATATGATGTAAACCATTGGATATAGTCTAAGAGCAGCGGAGCCAGGATTTTTTCTCTGAAATTACAAAAATTAAGTTGCAATTATCTTTTTGCGAAATATGAATCTTGAAAAGTATATCAATTATCACTATTTTCTAGTCATATAATCCAACAAAATGCAGATAAGTTATACTTTGACATAGAAATTAGCCTTGAATTTTTGTAATAAAAATGTGGGTTAAGTGATTATTTTTCTTTAACATCGGTTTACTAATTTTATTGTGCTTGCAAGTGTACAAGTTAGAGGCCTCATAAATGATAATGAAAATTCTTAATATATCATTTTTCTTTAACTTCACTTCTTTTTTTCTTATTCTGAAAAAAAATTAGCTCTCCAACTATCATTGTGATTATCATATGCAGAAATTGGTACCAAAAGTATGCATGGGACCTCTAGTGTAATTTTTGTTTAAAAACAATAAAAATAAAAATAAAAATAAAAATAAAAATTTCAATTTTTTTCTCTCTGTGACTCTCCACTGGTCACCAATGATTTCGCCAAAACTTTCCCTCTTGAGGGAAATTGATTTGTTTTCCTTCTACTTTTGAAATATGGTTGATTAAATATAAAATTTTCCATATAAAATAAAATACATATGTTTTCTAAAAATTTATAAAATATACTCTCTATTTAAGATGTATTTTCACTTTATATACTGTATTTTTTTTTAATTTACATTCTACATGCTATTTTTGGTAAGATGGTAATTAAAAAAAAAAAAGCTTTTGCTAAATATTAATAATTGAATATAACAGTCACATGTTTTGTATTACATTACATAATATTTTACATACCAATATATTAAATTAATTTTTTTTTGTGCTTCAAAAATTTAATTACTAATTCATTTTCATCTAAAGCGTCATTTTTTCTTGGGTAATTGGCGAAATACCTCCTAAATTTTAGTGGTTTTGAGCAATACCCCTGACCTTTCATTTTGATGCAAAACCTTTCCAAATCGACCAAACTTTGCCATCAATTTTTGTTAAAAAAATTCTGTTAAGTTGTCTAGTGAAGGCAATACCAGTAAAATGCTCAAGGGCTTTTCGTCTAATCAAGCAATTTTTCACTTAGGCGTCAAATTATATATGGAAATGGAAATAGAATATATGACACATGCCAGATATATATATAGATATATATATTTTATTTGGAACTACAAGAGGAAAATTAGTTTTGGATTTGAAAGCTAGATTTCTGGTTTATTTGAAAGCTTTTGCGTAAATCAACCCTAACCTTTTTAAACTTTGCAAATTTCAATCGTAGACTATAGAATTTACACAAAATGTCCTTTAGCAATAGCAAAATGAACGCCAGCAATCCACAACAGGAACAAAACAGTTATAACTTAAGTTTCAAATTTCCAAAACTTAAAATTGATTTTAATTTTCTGTTTTCGTTCATTTTAATATTCAGATTTAATAGAAAATTAAAAGTCATAATTATATATTTTAACTTACACTTTAGCTGAATTTATGCTTCTTAGTGTGGGGATTTAAGACGTACACTATAAAAAGGGAGGAGATTTTATAATTTGAACACAGCATTAAAAACCACAATTTGAGATATAATTAGAAAACAAAATACATTCATACTATATTTATATAGTTTTGGCAACTCGACGAGAGGCTCGTTCTTCATCACCCTGTGGTTGTGTCCATAGAAGGAGAATTGGCTGTGAGACACATAAGCTTTATCTTGGAGTCATGTAGTGACGAAAGTATTCATACAAAAGGGAGACAGCATGACTTTAGGACAATGTCATTGAAGTGACTTCCTCATGCTTGCTTTTCTAACCCTCTTCTTATGTTTATATTAGTGTTGAATTATATTTATGTCATTTAATTAATTATGCTAACTGATAAATATCTACACACAAATCACCTATTTTCCCAACAATCTAAAGTCTTGTTGGAGTGATTTGTTCATCTAATATAGTATATGATCTTCAAAGTGCAAGAAATATATTTTATATATTAGTGCCAATTACAGCAATTACAATATGCATCCTTAGCATCGAGACAAGTCGTTTTATCCTCACGTATTATTTTCAATACCCTATCTATGGCTAATTCTTCACAGTTCATCGGCTTTCCAATTTTACCCTCTACATCTCACGCCCAAACACACCACACTCCCACAGAGCAAATCCATTCCCTCACCGGCCGCAAGATTCGTTCCCCTTTCACCGGCAGTAACGGTGACAAAGTGATCGACTGGTATCAACAGGTTCAAAGCACCATGGATCCATATTGCACCTCGGTTAGCGTCGGACATTTTTTTTTTTTTTTTTTTTGGCGTTTTGTGGCCATGAATCTGATTAATGAGAAAACGTTGTTGCTGCTGCAAAATTCCTCTTTCTCTCTCTCTATATACGTGTATCCATATATATTATATGTATACACTGGCATTTTCTTGGGCAAAATTTTGAACATCTAATTAAGGAAGATTAGTGGGAAAATACTTCAATTCATTCTTTCCAGTCCCAAAAAATCCACAAACAGAAAGAAGTCGGCCAGATTGAGATCAAGAGAGGAATAAACTCATGTAGATTATTTTGAATTTCAATACATACACACATATATAAGTGTGTGAATATATATTTCTGATCTAGCTGCTCTTCTTCGCTATTTCCGTTCCGATTGTCACTTCCATTTCTTTTTGTTACTCGTCCTGAGTTTTTTTTTTTTTTTTTGCTAAATTTATTTATTTTTAGAAAATAAATATAATTTTGAATGGAAAAAGGGAAATTTGGGTGGAATAAGCTAGGGATCCTTGTACGGTAGTCTAGAAGGGTTTGGATTTCGATCTGATTCCTTGAGCGGAGAGAATTTATGTCATTTTGATCGCCAGATAAAAGAGAATTTATGTTTTGTTTATTTATATGTACTAATTTTAGTTAAGACTTGTATGCGTACATGTAAGAAAACTTCCCAACTCATTTCTATTTCATTTTCCTTTTTAGTCGTAGATGGGCTTTCACACTGCCTCCACTTCCAACCCCTCACCAAGCTCGCCCCAAGCACCTAGGAGGAGGACTGCCCAGTGGACACCCCAAGATAACCGAGTCTTCATTGTTGCCTGTAAGACCGTCATAGCCAATGAGCACCGTAATGGGAAGTGCTTCACGAAACATGGCCGGCACACACTTATCCAATTGTTCAACACCAACTCCGGGCACGATTAGAGTAGGCAGCAATTGAAGAATTACTAGAATTATCTTTGACTCAAGCATAAACGTCTCCAGGAGTTGCTAGACTGCACCAGCATTGCATACAACTCTGCACGAGGATGCCTAGTCACCTCCGAGAGTGGTGGACGCGAAATATTAAGGTACGAGGCTGCTGAAAATTATTTCCACTCGCATTTCGATGACACGAAATTGTGTGTACTGTTAAATTTTCACATATCATTATCTCGGTAATGTTGTAGTCTTAATCCGCACTTTGCCTAAGATTGCATAGCATCACATTTCCGTTTTAGAATATAATCCATAACACAGAATAGTTACGCCCCCCTCCCTTTTTTTAAATAACAGCAGTAGTTCTTCTCAATGAAAGACCTTGTAGAAGAAAAAAGTCTTTCACTAATGCTTCAACTGTGAACTCTTGCTATATGCTATCAAATATCCTCTTCTTGGAGGAAGAAGTGATATTTAGCATCAACATGCATATTAAGCATATAAGTTGGGTATATTTGAAATGAGCGTATGTTGTTTTACTTCTGTTGATTTATGTATCTGATACGGGTGTCTAACTACATCATTGTTGAGCATAATCCTATTTTTCCCTCTACTCAATAGATCTATGACATTGCTATTTTCTAAATTTGGATGTCAAATAACACTATAGTATTCTTTTTATTTGTGCTAGGAAACTTATAAACCAAACATGTAGCATTCTGATATTGATCTTTGGGCTATAGGATTTGGTACACTATTAGCAGATGAATGCATAACCTTTTGAGAGTGAAAACATGCCATGGTGTACGCTATAAAATATAATTCCTCTCTTTCCATATTTTAATTCCATACTTAGTCTGGCTTCTAACTTGTTATGCGTTTCTTTTTTCTTCTGTTCCGAATAGGAGAACAATGAGTACAGGGAGTTCAAAGACAAAGACTATAGAGAGATATACGCTTATCAGGTTCTATTCGGCAATGCATTTGACAATGAAAAGTATGCGATGACGTCGACGAAGCTGTGCAGGACCAACTTCACCGTGTTTGAAGATAGTGCAAATGACAATCCACGGAACGCAACGTCGATATATGAGGAGAACAGTGGCTCTAGTGATGAGAAAGACAAATTAGACAAATCTGCATCAAGCATGGACACCCAGCCATAGGAGTGGAGAGAAACATAGACCCGCCTAAAGTAAAAATAAGGAGAAGAGAACTAAAATATCAGCAAGGGATTTGTCGTACTCAGTTGATCGAGCCATGACTGCAAGTGAGAAAATAGCAACAACACTTGACAACTTAGTCAGATCCAATGTGTCGGACATGAAGACATTCATGAAGGAGTTGTTCGCGACAGGCAGACTGCATAAAAAATTGACCCCTACTTTAAGACGTGCATGTTTCTATCTTTAAAGAGAAATAGGGAGGCTCTGGAGATGATGCGAATGAAAAGATGGATTGGTTGGAGTGGAATTGGCAAGAGCACAGGAAAGCGCGACCGTAGTGAAGACTGTGTATGGGGTAGAATAAATTTTCCCCACAGCGGAGGATCTCCACAAAAATTATTGTTGGGCTTTTTTCTTTTTCCGTTTCTCGGTATGTGGTTTGTTAACCTTACAATTTCGAGTTGTGTACTTTTTAAGATTTTATGTATCCATATATGTACCACCTACTGTGATTTCATGTCTATGTATACCCACTTGTTCCTTGGACTTATTCAACATTTGCCATGAATAATTGTGAATATCTGACACCCCCATCTACGGAATTGTCATCAATAGATGGGAGAATCTCTTCAAAATTTTCAAATTGCAGTTTGAACAATTTCTGCAGTCGTATTATTGCAATGTTAAGTAATTCTTTAAAACGGGAACTTGATGCAGTCTATTGCAGCAACGAATGACTCTGCTCATTTGAGAAAGAGAGAGAGAGCGCTTTTTTTTTTATTTTTTATTTTTTATCTCTTCTTAGTCTCCAAGTAGGTAGAGAATTTCCCAACAGAGTGAGGGACGTTGACAATGGCGCATTTGGATTTCAATTGTATGCTTTTGCCATCTTTTGATACTGAAGATGAGATTGGGGAAGAGGAGTTCATGCAACTACTAGAAGATGACACTATTCAGTGGTTTCAGTTCTGTCGGATGTTGGAAATTGATGGGCAAACTACTATCGTCAGCGGAGACGCCAGATTACTTGATTTTCATTCGCGAGGAACGGTCACATGTTCATGCTTGATACGATGAAATGTAGTCCTAAACAGTGCTACGCAAAATTTAGGATGTACCCAACTATGCTTCAAAAACTCACACATATACGGACTATGTAGCTACCAGCAAGTAGACATGTATGAACAAATCGGAATGTTTCTGTGCATATTAGTGCATGAAAAAGGGTTCGTTCAGACACTGTTCAACCATTCTTTTGAAACGATCGGCAAGCACGTGCTGCAAGCAACTCTTGAATTTAGTGCTCGTCTCATAAGACCAGATCCGCACTACAATCAGGGTGTCGAGCATTACATACCGGATCTGAATAAGCATCCGTTGTTCCAAGACTACATTAGCGCAATTGACGGCACGCACATCAAAGCTGTTGCCTCGGGACGAACGGGTAGATTTTATATGATGCAAAGGAATCCTGATGCAAAATTTTTGTGCAGCATGTGATTTCAACTTGTGTTTTACATTTGCTTTCGCGGGATACAAAGGGACGACGTATGATTCATAGATTTTGACAGTGCTATACAGTCCTAAAATTGATTTCCCGCTATCGAGTCGCGAAAAATACTGTCTTGTGGACTCGGGATTTGCCCATAGACCTAGGTACATGGCTCCGTATAAGGGATCCAATATATTGTATCATTTTCAGTAGTTCTACGATGCTCGGATAGGTCGAAAGAGAAATTTTCGCAACGCATGTAAGAAATTCAACTTTAAGCACTCGTGTAGAAACGTAATCAAACGGGCATTTGGTGTATGGAAAAGTCGGTGGAATATACTGGATCATATGTCGTGCTATAATTTTAAAGTACAGATCGCAGTTGTAGTGACGACCATGGGCATCCACAACTTCGTCCAATGGGCAGAGTCATCGATGAGGAATTTACGCGAGCAGAGACGGACCCCGACGCGACAGGGGTAGAACTGCCAGACGAACACGAACAAGTCTCCACTGAAATGAACGCACTAAAAGTACGTAACGAGTGGGATTGTTTTCGTGATTGGTTGGCACAAAGTGGTAGATGCGTTTAATATTTTCTCTTATCGTTAAATTATTGGATTTTGTGTAACAAGTTCATGTATGGGTTAGCCATATTTATGTTGACATGAACAGTAAATTTTAATTCTCATGTGCAATAAATATCCAATTTTGTTCTGTACACAATGGTACACTTTTTTGGCCGTGTGTGGGCCCAATTTCTGAAAAAAGCACTGCAATATGTTGGAAATTTTGCAAATGTGTAATGACTTCTCAACAGTGATTGCACATGCGTTGGGGACACAATTGTCCAATCAACAATTCCATCAGTTTTCACGTACGTGGTACCCGTTCTTGCTCTTTTTCAGCTGTCAAAATTTTACTTATTAGCGTGCCCGGACAAGCGCTTAATCGCCTACCATCTAAATCATGAAATCTCTTTTACTTAAGTTGTTCAAATTTTAGTACATTGTTACATATAATTTATTTTTAAAAAAATTAATTGTGATATCATGATTATCTTAATTCATTAATAGTCTAGAATTAATTTCGGAACTACTTAGTCTAGATTTTCTTAAGTAGTCTGATTCCCTGTTCTAGTTGAAGAAACATTTAGGTTACTACGTGTTTTTCAATAAGCTTCTATTGGACTTCTCATAATCGACAACTTCAAATTTTAAAAATCCATACTTTTAGGCGACATAAACTTTTAAAAAGCATATTGGATGTTACCTAACTACTTGCATATTTTCCAAGCTTTTAGGCGACATAAATTTTTTAAAAAGCTTTCACTAAAGAACCAATACTCCATACATCTTTATTAATTGCAATTAGAATTATGATGAGAATATTTTTTCTAGAGATCATAAAAATGCATGGTAAACATTTCATTAGAAAATGACGCAAAATGTGCTGAATTAATATTTTAAAAGAAGTTTAGTTTCATAATTAATCTGCATGTTTTTATAGCCCAAGTAACTCTATGAGTAATAATGATTTATTCTAGATTTGTAACTTTTATGTTGGCAATATTGTGTTAAAAAATTATATTTTTGCTGCTTGATTAATTTTATTTCATTGATTAAAAGAAATATTAATGGGAAGACGATCAAAGATGAGAAACTTGTTTCTAATTGATTTAGTGAATTCTGATGAAACACAAACTCAACGCTATTAACATTGTTGCTAAACTATTTATTTACATTTTAGATGAAGTATTGACATTTTATAGTAATTTTATTTATCAAATTAATTTTAAAGTCTATCATACAGTAGTATGAAAAATATTTAGTGAAGTGATCTATCATCTAATGCCAATTATATTCCTTGACAAGCTTTGCATGTTTATATAGCACACAAAACTATAATTAAGTTTGCAAGTTCTATCTAACTTTGATGTTTCTAATGAGCTTCGATAAAACTTGATCATCTTAGCTATAAATGTGCAATTTCCATAAGAAGGATAAGAGTGAACATAAGGGTAGATCAAAATCTAAAGCTAATGGAAAAGAATGTTCTTCAAGATGGATATCGTTGAAATGTGAGGGTGTTTTAAATTTCATATCGATGCACCTTATATAATTGATTATTCTTAATTGGAGAATTCACTTTTGAAACGTGTTAAAAATGAAATTTGTAAATCTGCAGGTGAATACAAGAGCTGAACGGATGCATATGTTCGAACATATTATAGAAGTCAATTTCTAAATTTCACGTGGTTATCTTGTTATGATTAAATATGTGATTGATATTTTACAAATCTTTTAGGATTTTGCAGATGTGTAGATTGCAAGTAGAGAATAAAAACTTGTAAATGTTATGGTACCAATTTATTGTCCAAGAGAAACGTGAAAAAAATATAGTCCGAGATGGACATATATAAATCATCGAGGGAGATGGGTTAAGTTATAAGGAAGTCATCTCCGAGAGTAACTCAACCTTTATGATTGGAGATCCTATGAAGAAGGTTCAATGTGATAAAAACAATCTGGACAGCGTGACTTGCAAGAGTACTATTTTATTTGTGCTCATCCTTATAGTGATATATTGTTAATAAATGTGATGCTAGAAGGGTTTAATCATGAATGAATATTGAGGTGCGAATTCTCGTGAGGTGTAGGTCACACGCACCCTTGGAGAACTTGCCTATGTAAGAGTTGCCACGAGGCCGTGACTATGGGATTAAGTTAGTCTCCAAAAACTTTTACTAGAATAAAGATTAGAGCACATGGTCATTAAGAGCACTATCTGCTATGAACTAACGCTTGAATCGATACTGTGTGTGGGATAATTGAAGTTTGGCTAAATGGACCTAATTCAAGATTTAATCTATTATGGCTCCCTCAAATGGAAATTATTATCACTAAGTAATGTTCAAATCCAAAAAAACCTACACCTAATTGATAAATATTTACACACAAATCACCCATTTTTTTCAACAAAAATATAATTAATAATCCACAACAATTTACAAATTGATAGATCTCGAACACAATAGCCTTCACCCAAGCAACCTGAAGTCATCAATTTTTGAACTAGCAATGCACAACAATCAACATAAAAAGGAAGCAGAAACAATCCACAGCACCATTAACCAAAAGCAGCATAAGAACAAAAATCAAAAGAATTCCACAATAGCAACAATCAAATTATCAAGAAAAACTTCTCCTTGATTCTCCAATGTGAAATTGAAAAAGGATTTTGTATTTCTTGGTGGATGATTAGGGTTTTTCAGTAGAAGTGTCGATCCTCACCCATATCGAGTTTTAGCAAACACAATCTTATGTAAAAAATTGACTTAATTAGACACTAAAGCCCTTGGGCATTTTATTTGTTTTGGCCTTCAAAAGACAATTTTAGGGAAAATTCAGCAAAAAATGATTGCAGGGTTTTATTATTCGAAGTTTGGTTGATTTTGAGGAATCTAAGCGAAAATGAAAGGGTGATGAGTATTGCACAAAATCACTAAAGGTTACAGGGTATTTCGCCAATTACCAATTTTCCTCTCTCATTTTTATCAATCCATCCATAAATTAATATTCATTTGAATCCTTTCACTTCATCATATACATAATTTTCTTCCATTTTTATTTTTTTAATCCAAAATTATATAGTTTCATTAATTTTTTTAAGGGATATTCACTTCTATGAAGTTTTATTGCAGAAAATAGAAAATTCAACCGCCATAGATACCAATAATTACACATGCCTTCTTTAACATTTTTTAAGTTGCAAAAATATCCCAACTAAAGATGAATAAGAAATTGACATTTAGCTACAAAATAACATTTAATATCAAAAATTATTTTATTTGATTTTTTATTCATTGACCAAATTTTGATAATTAGAATATCATTATTAAGAAATTTTTTATTTAAATTCAACCGCCTTAGATACCAATAATTACACATGCCTTCTTTAACATTTTTTAAGTTGCAAAAATATCCCAACTAAAGATGAATAAGAAATTGACATTTAGCTACAAAATAACATTTAATATCAAAAATTATTTTATTTGA